GTAACTGTCTGCGGTGAACACTATAAAGGAAGCACATTATGATATACTTAGAAAAACTGGCTACCTTACCGTACTCATTTAGGTTTTATAATTTTGGATATAAAATGCTGAAGCAAACTGATGTCACTCATCCATTTGTATTACATGATGGAGGTGTATGGTCTGTGCCACGTGCTGCCTTGGAACTGGGGGAGCTGACAGTGCACACAAGCAATGCCCTCAAGGACCCATGGTGGCAGGTGGGTAGAGGAGGAGGAGCCCAAGAATTAGCTGGGTATATGGGCAGGGGTTAGCGTACACAATGAGTGCTTTGTGCTTCGTTCTAATTAGTGTGCACTTTTGTCTTGAAAACACTGGCAGATCTTGGAAAACCTTCAGATATATGATAATAAAAGAATTAATTAATTAATCTTAGAAAGAAAACTTTGAGTAGGAAGATTGGATTGTGGGATATGGTAGAATCAAGAACGATGAATTCCAAAGTTATTGTGATATTCTAGGCATAACTGATGGCTGGGCTCAATTAATCTTGATGATGGAGGAAATAAACAGGTTTGGGTGAGAAGACACGCAAACAAGAGAAAATGACTTAGAGGTGATTTTAAAAAGAGCTGGAGTTAGAGATGAGCGGGGACAGACTGCAGAAGAGAAAGACACTCAGTGATATAAATATGATGTCAATATGTAGATGACTGTTCTTTCTCCTTCTCCAACTCTTTGTTCTGGGAATCAAATCCAGCGCTTGACACATATCTAACAAACCACTACCACTGAACCAGACCATAAACCAGGATTTATGGGGAAAAAGAGGGATTTGATCTACAAAGAACTCGGGGAAAGAATGTCCAAAAACAGCAAAGGAGAAAAACCAAAATTATGTACCTTGAATTAGACAAAACCAGCAACATTATATGTAGTTCCTCTTCAAAAGTGGTTTGGTTGAGGATTTCTTTTCTTTTCCTTTTTTTAAAAGTTTTTTTTCAAGACAAGGTTTCTCTGTGTAACGTCCCTGCCTGTCCTGGATCTCGCTCTGTAAACCAGGCTGGCCTCTAACTCACAGAGATCCGCCTGCCTCTGTGTCCTGAGCGGTAGGGTCAAAGGCATGCATCATCACTGCCTGGCCAAGGATTTCAACAAGGTGACATTAGAGTCAATCAGGGTCATGCACTTGATATGCACTATGAATGCCAGGCAGGTAGGAGAGGTGACGGCAGACATATGTCTGGAGAAGTAGAGAGTTCTATATCTGGATCTGCAGGCAGCAGAAAGAAAGAGACATTGGGACTGGCTTGGGCTTCTGAAACCCCAAAGCGCACCCCCAGTGACATACTCCCTCCAACAAGGCCACACCTGTTACGTGAACCCACGAGAGTCTGTTAAAGGATCTCAAGAATTTACTAAGGTATAAAATGGGGATAATATACTCATTGATACAAAACAAAGTAGACACTGTTGCTTATCCAGCTGTTGTCCTCTGTTCTGCCCAGGGGTGATGGGAACCAACCGTCCTGATCTGTCTATCCAAGACAGCCCATGACCGCTATTCCTCTGCTCTTAAGCAGTACATACACAGGTAAGACCACATCCTTGGACTTTCTACCTCAAAGCCATTGGCTGAAAGGAATGAATTCCCACAACATACAACTACTCTAGCAAGGCCACACCTCCTTATCCTTCTCAAGTAGTGTCACTCCCTGATGACCAAGGACTTAAATATTTAAATGAGCCCATGTGGGTCATTCTTGTTCAAACCACCACATTCCACTCCTTAGTCCCCAGAGGCTTATAGCCATATCATAATGCAAAAATGCATTCAGTCCAACTTCAAAAGTCCCCAAGTCTATTATAATGGCTTCAACACTGTTTAAAAGCACTAAGCTCAAAGTCTCCTCTGAGACACAGGTTAAAAAAATAAAAAAAAAAGAAAAGAAAAAATAAAAAACCGGTAACCCCCTACATAATCAAAATAAAAAAGGAGACCACATATTTCCAATATACAGTGGACATATATTACCATTCCAAAAGCAGGGAAAAGGAGAGTAATGAGGAAACACTGGACTAAAGCAAGACCAAAAAACAGCAAGGCGAACTCCAAACTCTGTGTTTCTGTGTCTGATGTCAAAGTGCTCTTTAGATCTCCAGCTCTTTTCAACTTTTTGACTGCCACATACTTCTCTCTCTTGGGCTGATTTTAACTGGGTATGCAGCTCTCTTTGGTAGATATCTCACAATTCTGGCATCTCCAACATCTTAGAGTCTCTAACACTATCCAGGCTTCACCTTCACAGCTTCACACACACAATGGCCTCTCTGGGCTTCCATTCAAGGACACTCCAATACACATCTAGCCTCAGCGGCTTTCCTTAGCCACAGAGGAAGATTCCACAACCCCTTTCTTGTATTCTCGATTCTAAGAACAGAACCACCCTGTAGATGAATTTCTAAACAGTCTTATTAAATAAGAAACACAGAGCCAAATACAGAGGTAATAGCCAAAGAGATCAGAGCAATAGCCATGACTAGCCTTAGCTTACCACCACGCAGTAGCTTCCACAGAGAGAGCATCTTCCGGTCTATCCGTGTTTTTATTGCCTTCCTTTTCTGCCTTCTCATTGGCTCTAAGCCCAGCCACATGACTTCCTCATCACTGCCTGTCTATACTGACCTCCAGGTCTCTATGGTTGGTACTGGGATTAAAGGCTTGTGTCATCACACTTGGCTGTGTCCTTGAACACACAGAGACTCTGCCTTCCATGTGATCAGATTAAGGGCATGTGCTAGCACGGCCTGACTTCTGCTTAATGGCTATTTGACCTCTGATCTCCAGGCAACTTTATATATTAACATACAAATAAAATATCACATTTCAGCACAAATAAAATATCACCATACCACCCAGCTAAAGGTGCCAAGTAACTAAGTGTGGGAGTTAGGAATTATGTGGAACCTATATCATGACAAAATTTTCCTTAATTTTAAAACAGGAATAGAATTTGTGTATTTCAAATTGTTGAAGGATTGATAGAAGTGAGACGGGTTGTGGGCATTTAATGTTATTTTCAAACTAAATGCTAAGTCACATTATGATGGGACACCCCTTCCTTTTTTATTAAGAACATATGATACTGTTTGCTTCTGTTTTGGCTTAGTAAACAGTTCAAGTTTGGCTCCTGGAGTATCCACTTCCCTAAAGAGCTCAGCTCAGACTCAGTATACTTCCTACGAACCCCACATCACTCAATGCCTTTGGCTCTGCCAAGGCAGGCTAACTAAGTATAAAAGTCAGTGAGACCTTCACTAAAGTCTCAGCAAAGGAGTTCAGGCCCTGATGTAAAGGATGCTGGCAGCCATAGGCATCTCTGAATTCAAGAAGCCTAGCTCCTTGAAGTCATCTTGAGAAAAAGATGAATTTGAGGGCTGGAGAGAGGGCTCAGCCGTTAAAGGCTAGACTCACAACTCCCTGAAAGATGAATTTGTTTCCATAACAACCACAACAAAGCAAAAAGAAAGTTTTCTTCCTTTTCAAAAAGGAAACCACAGAGCTGGGCACAGTGGCTCACACCTGTAATCCTAGCACTGTGGAGACTGGCAGGAAAAGCCTGAACTGGAGGCCAAGCTGGGCTACATGGGGAGGCCTTTTTTCCCCTTTAAGGAAACTGTAGAAGAAGAAAAAGTGGGGTAGAATAGAAAGAAGAGGAGGAAAAGAAGGTGGAGGGGGGAGGATGGGGGAGGAAGAGGGGGAGGAAGAACTAAAACATGAATTCCAACAGCCATGGTCTTATCAGATTAAAAAATACTTCCGAGACTCTCATGCAACATGTTTTGATCGTATTCTTTCCGCCCCCCTCCTCAGCAGTTGTAAGGGCAACACACGCTGGGCTGTGCACTTCTCCAAGTTAACGTGACTCTGCCCAAGATTTGACTTTGAATAAAAATGAAGCAAAATCTGGAGTAACCTTGTGAACCGCTCTCATTTAAAAGCTGTTTTTAATGGTCATACAGGAAGGGTCAGCGATAAGGCACAGTTAGAAAAGACTGCCTTATCTAGGAATGAGTGCGTTGAGATCACTGATTTTGTGCATGTCTTCCGGGGATCTCCAGAAGACTCAGTGAGCTGAAATTACAGGAAAAGTGGGCACATTTCTTCTTGGCTCTTGTCTGAGTCAAGGTTTTAGACTCATTTGCGGCCTTCTATCACTGGTCAGGAAGTCTGGCAAACTGAGATGACTGGAATGATCACAGTGTAACACTCTGGAAGGAGATAAGCACAGGTCAGTAACCTCAGCCACAGCCACGTATCCCTCAAGTCCCGGGGAAACAGAAGCTCCGAGGTGCACATGCCTGCCTGATTCTTGTTGCCCACAAGCTCATTTTCACTTTTAAGATCCATTATTTTTAACCAGTTGTCAGAGGGAAGCAAGATTCTAATGTCAGACTCCATGCTTATTTAAAGTCTCATTCTGGATCAACCAAGTCACTCACTTCAGGGAAACTAAGAGAATGCTCTCTTGTACCCTGAATTTTCACCTGCATTTTTTCCTATCAGTGTTATTAATAGCTCCTATCTCTATATTAAGGAGTTTGGAGTGATGGAATAGGCTCATAATGCCAGCACTCAAGAAGCTGAGGCAGGGGGATCTTGAGGTGGAAGCTAGCCTGAGCTATATCACAAAGCCTCGTCTAAAAATAAAACCAGTAACAACGAAAAGATTTAGAGATCAGAAATGCCGATTTTTACATTAGTTTATTGTGTGAGTTTACTGGGTACAATGAAATTGGCAATGTCTTATCTTCCACCTGCCTTGATATTGCTGAACTGGAAGAAGATACTGTGGTTGTCTCTCCAAGAAGAAATAATAAATGTTGATCATTAACAAACGAAATTACAGCCCTTACCGGAATCTGCCTCACTTAAATGCAGACTTCCTTGCCCACCCTTGGTTTCGAAACTGAATTTGAAAAAAAAAAAAAAAAAAAAAAAAAAAAAGCCCTCCGGGAGACTGCCAACAGAGCGGAAGCCACAAGAGTCCACATCATTCTTAGTGCCAGAGAAAAAGACTCACAAATAATGTACCTCCCCTGAAATTAAGGACAGAGTCCAGACAAATAAATGGCTTCTGCAGGATGTCTGTGAGAATTGGTATGCGGGTTCCCAAGCCCGGAGGACCGCTAGAACATCCTCCGCTACATCTTCAGTCGCTCAGTGCTCTCCCTCTCTCCTTTCCATCTCCACACCCGCCTTCTGTTTTTCCCACCCCAACCTCCTTGAACTTTGGAAATCAGAGTGCTCACTCTGCTATGAAGGACCCCCGCGAGGCTGCTCCCCCTCTCACCACCCAGGACTAGGTGTTGGGCGAAGAAAGGATGATCAGCCAGAAATGACAGGTGAGGAAGCTTCTGGACTGCTTGCGTGCGTGCGGGGGTGGCAACATCCCGAGACCGGTTGCAGTCCTGTTTGCTATGGCTGGACTCTTACCCACTCCCCTCGCCTCGGGTTCAGCATCCTCAGAGCGTAACCACGGCCCCCTGAGGCCGGAGAGCAGGCACACATCCTTACTCCCCGCGGGTCCTCCACGCACCACCCCTCGGCCACCCTTAACCTGGAAGGGACCCAGTTCCCTTCTGCGAAGCCTAGCTCCCGGGTCACGTGTCGTCTAGGGCAGCCTCTTGTTGGAGAAGGTGCGGTCGCCTGGGGTGCCTTGCTCCTCAAACCGGGTCAGGAGACCTCTGAAAGGCGTCAGGGGGCAGGGCTTCCTGTGGGAAAGGGCCGGGAGGACGCGGGTGGCCTCCTGGCTGCCTCTGCCGGCTTCCTGCCCGCCCAGGGCTTTGCCGAGGTCACCCGCGCCAGGCCGCTCGAGTCCGCGTCCTGCCACTTTCACCAGAGGCTCTTCAAGGCTCAGGGACCCTCATGTCCTCAGGTATCTGTTGGTTAGCAGTCTGGGGGTGAGGGTGAGACCTGTTGCTTTCTTTTTTCTTTTTTTAAATCTCCTCCAAGAGGGCAGCTTTGTCCAAAAGTTTTCAGGGTGTTGTCATCATCTACGGCCCCTCCATGGTTTGGTTTACAGGCAGACGTGCACTATATAATAAGGAAAAGTTTAAATAATTATAGACAGCTCGATCCCAGCTTTATAAAATATGTGATCTTTATAAAGGGGGGAATCGAACGATACTGGGAGCGCTCGGGGGTGTGTGTCTTTGTTCTTTCCTGTTCTTTGTAAACTTTTCATCTAGTCGGAAACCAGAAAAAAAAGAATGTCCTTTGTTCTTTCTAGCTCTCGAGCCGCCGTCCGGGTTCCCCGCCACCTTGCGCTGTCATTGAACTAGGGAGACTTCCCCGCCTACTCGAGGCTCCCAAGAGAGCGGATCCCCGGTGCACCAGCTTGGTCCAGACCCACTTCCCGGCTGCAGCCGGGTCACAGGAAAACCCTTCGTCGTCGTGGTCCGGGACTTTCCGAGGCTTTCGGGTCAGAAAGAACTTCCGGGTACTGGGGGAGGCTCCGCAGGGGGTCCGCAGCCACGGAGGTGGGTGGGTGGGGATTAGAACTGGCGGGTGAGCAGAAGGAGACAGAGGATCCGGGTCACTGGAAAGCGCCGAGCTCGCCCTTCCGCTCTCCACTCCTGGTGCTTGCTCCCCTTCACTCCCTCTGCAAGACTGGGAACTTACAAGATTGCTGCTGACTCTGCAGAGCAGGTCTGCTTTGGGGGAAAATTCGCGGACAGATGTCTTCTAAGCAGGGGGCCATGGCAACTGAGGGAGTTGGGCAAGAGGATCGTTTTGCCTTTTGTTTCTTCCAAGTTTCTCTTCCCCCTTCTTCTACCATCTCAGTTTCGGGTGTTTGTCAGGGAGAAAAGCTTTTGTTAAAATTAGAAACGTCCGTCCTGCAATCATATTCTCTCCCAGAGACTAAGCTGGAGCAGAGAGCAGTGATGGTAAACGTTTTAGAGGGGACCCTTCCTTAGCTCACCGTTCAGAGGAACATCTGTTTACAGCCAGCGTTGTTTCAAACAAAACCAATTCTCAACACGTGAGGAATCTCAGTGGCACGCGTGACCACCCTCCCGGGGGAGCCGTGCAAACTTCCTGTTAAACTGTTGGTACACCTGGTTCATTTTAGTAAAAACATCGCTCTGCGTCTTCTCATCTGTGGCATTGGAAACCAATCAGCCTTCACAGAGCCGGGCAGCCCTTCACGGGTTTCACAGGACATAGGGGTCAGCGAGCAGCAGCTTGATTGGCCTGTGCGTGTGATGTGTGTGTGTGTGTGTGTGTGTGTGTGTGTGTGTGTGTGTGTGTGAGTGTGTGTGTGTGTGTGTGTGTGTGTGTGTGTGTGTGAGTGTGTGTGTGTGTGTGTGTGTGTGTGTGTGTGTGTGTGTGTGTGTGTGTGTGTAGTTGGGATGTTGAAGCTGCTTTGTACCTAACACATCTACTCATATCGCTCTTTTTCTCAGGAGAAGAGACAAGGCTCCAGATCTAGCGAGCTGTGGCCACTGGAAGGCTCTCAGGTGAGTGTGTGCCTCTTGGGATCCAGCATGAGAAAGGTTAGCACTGAGTCTGGGGTGCAGGGCCGGTGCCTTTGGCTCATGCCTGTTATCAGAACTTGTTTTTCATTCCACTTATCTCCTTACTGTTAGCAGAACTTGTTTTTCATTCCACTTATCTCCTTACTGTGTAACAGTTTCTTTGTTAACATATATGACCGTTTGCAGGTCGTTAGTGTTTTACAGCTTTGTGATGACAGATAACAGTAATATACAGGGTAATGCACACATTACTGATGATACTTTACTATTGATAATTCTGTTTCATTCCACAAAAAGCTGATGACCTGTGGTTTTTGTAAAGAAAAAAACTGCTAAATGTTTGATTAGGTCTTAGTGTACGTGGTGTCAAATTCCAAAGGTGCAGGGTGTGAGGTGAAAAGTCTCTCTCCTGCCCCTGGCCTTTGGTTTCCCTTTCCTGAGACAAACGCTGCTACCACTGTACAGCCTGTTGACCTTCTATGCTATTTGATAATTTAAAACTAGCAGAGTTCAAAAGCATTTTTGAGCCTCCTCCTCCTCCTCTTAAATTTGTTATTTTAATTGTTCATTTCTGTCTTCCTACTGAATACTGAACTGCTAAGGATTCAAGCTACCTTGTAGAGGGACCTTGTGCCCCTGGAAACTAACAAATAGATTAGTTTGTTCGTTGGCCTTTGTGACACCCCTAACAACCTGCACAGCTGCCAGTGAATGGCAGGCCTGTGCTCATATTCTCACATGCAGGCACAAAGATGATTGACATTTGTGGAAAGCAATGTTTTGGACCACATCCTCTTATGAGGCAGCGCCAGCAGCGCTTCCCTCCTAAACAGTGGTGTCTAGGTTGGTATCCCGTTGGTCTCAGCACACATGCTTCTGAGCCCCCCTTCTCTTAACTTCTACAGTCTGTGAAGTACAACGGTTAGCCCCAGAAGGGAGGCAGTTTGTGGCATGATAAGAGACAGTGCGTTGGAGTTCGGATCCTGGCTTTGACTCCTTGTTTTATACCTGCACCCATTCTTTAAATTGCACAAAACTCCATCTCCCTCACCTCTAAAGGGCAATTCATAGGACTATTTTGAAGATAAGCCAAGATGGTCCAGGTGCAGGAAGGACACAGCACCCCGTGCCTAGCCTGTGAAAGGCATATCATAAGCAGAAGCCTTTAACTGTCAGCTTGTCATCATTTCATCTTCCCGAGACAGGTGAATGCATCTGTCCTCTTAGGCTACCTTAAGGTGCAGTAACAGCCTCGAGAATCTCAGGGAAGAAGAATGGATTTCTTGCTCATATGACACATGCCTTATGTGTCCGTCTTTGGTCCTTCTCTCTGGCACTCAGCCTGAGCTACTTCTTTAGGGGGCTGTGATGTTGTGGCAGGGGCATGAAGGAAGGTGAAACTACATCTTTTAAAACATCTTGGTGGTGGCACACACTTTTAATCCCGGCACTCAGGAGGCAGAAGCAGGGGTATCTCTGAGTTCGAAGCCAGCCTGTTCTACAAATCGAGTTCCAGGACAGCCAGGGCTACACAGAGAAACTCTGACTCGGGGGAAGGGGGTGGAGGTTGGCGGGGGAGGGAGATCTGCAAGGAAGTAAGCTTCTGCACAGCTTCCACGTGGCGGCGTGATGCGTGTTTCTATTTGTGTTGATGTCATTATCAGTCTAAAGCAGGGGAGCCTTCTCCAAAGGGCCCGCTGGGGAACAGCAGAGAGCGAGGTGCAACAAACACTTGACCTCTGTGTGTGCTGGAAGGAATCACAGTTGTGGACTCAGAGGTCCATCAAACCCTAAGAATGAATTCACACCAAGACTACCATGGGCCCCAGGTGCCAGCTTTCCCCTTACAGTGAGAGTCCCAGGTCTGAGAGCCTGTTTGCAGCAGACACTTTTGGCAAATGGATGCACTCAAAAGACAGAACTGCAAACTCAAGGGTTATATAAAGCATCCAAAACAATATTTAGCTGTCACCAAAAACATTGTATTTGGGAAAACACCGGTTTTTGTCTGTTTTTCGAGACAGGATTTCTCTGTGTAGCTTTTGGAGCCTGTCCTGAACCTTGCTCTGTAGACCAGGCTGGCCTGGAACTCACAGAGATCTGCCTGGCTCTGCCTCCTGAATGCTGGGATTAAAGGCATGCACCATTACTGCCCCCCGAAAATACCGTTTTTTAACATAGTTCTTTTGTGACTGTGAAAGCCCAGGGATGGGCTGGAGTTGAAGCACTCCCTGGACAAAAATGGAGATGGTTTCTGCTTTTCTTTTTTCTCAAGGTCTTTGCTTCTTATCAGAAAACCCTGCGTGCGCACGTGTTTGTGTGTGTGTGTGTGTGTGTGTGTGTGTGTGTGCACCCGAGTGTGTGTAAGATGTGTTGTGCACACAGGTATGTGCGTGCATGCAGAGGCCAGAGACTACGGTCAGTGTTAGTCGTCAGGCATCTACTACCTTCTTTGAGACAAGGCCTCTCACTGGCCTACACTTTGCAAGATAGGCAATGCTAGCTGGCCAGGGAGCTGCAGGCACCTGCCTGTCACTGCCCCCTCTCTTACCAACACTGGGATTACAAGTAGGTGTGACATGCTCCTCAGTTTTTTATGTGAGTCCTGGAGATCTAGGCACACTCCTCACACTGGCAAGGCAAGTGCTTTATCAACCCTGCCAGCTTCCAAGTCCATTGTTTTCTTTGATGTTTTTGACTTGCGGGTGTAATGCAGTTTTACTGTAGAAAACCTTTAAGCAAACAGGGAATATAGGTGGAAAGTGGATGTCACCCGAGAGTCACAGCAATGAATTCTTTTTATCAATGCATAAATTATTACATCACTGCATTACTCAGTGTAATTATTCTCATTCATGTTGTCTGCTTCTTGAATAATGAGACTTCATTATCATGAAGTATTTTGAAATGCTATCGTGAAGCAGTTTGATCAGTTCCACCCATTGCATGTTAGCTACTTCTTGCTGGCTTCAGTTTCAATCATTTTTACATCCTTGGCCCAAGATTTTGAGGAGTCCTCTCACTGCTTTCCTTTTTTAACTTACACAGGATCTCTTACCTTGCTACGAAGTTGAGTATGCTGCAACAATGTCTAAGAGACAAGAATATGACATTAAAATTAAAGATTAATTTCTTTTTTTTTTTTTTTTTTGGTTTTTCGAGACAGGGTTTCTCTGTGTAGCGCCTCTCCTGGAACTCGCTTTGGAGACCAGGCTGGCCTCGAACTCACAGAGATCCGCCTGGCTCTGCCTCCCGAGTGCTGGGATTAAAGGCGTGCGCCACCACCGCCCGGCTTAAAGATTAATTTCTAAGTTAACAAAAGACATATTGCTCAGCTGTCATTTATGGGAGTAAATGAGCAAAGCTTGATTTTAGCAGCATGATGGGAAGATTGGGAGGGGCTATGTACTGAGACCCTGTCTTAGTTACGATGTTTCTATTGCTGTGATACAGCACCATGACCAAGGCTTTCTTTTAGAAGAAAGAGTTTATTTGGGGATTACAGTATCAGAGAGAGGGCTAGAGTCCATGACCTTCATCATGAGGACCATGGCAGCTGGCAAGCAGGCATGGTACTGCAACAGTAGCTGAGAACTCACATTGAAACACAAACGCTAGGCAGGGAGAATTAACTGGGAATGGTGTGAATTTTTGAAACCTCAAAGGCCACTGTCTCTATGCCTCCTCTAACAAGGCACACCTCCTAATCAGTCCTGAACAATTCCACCAACCGTGGACTAAATATTGAAATATATGAGTCTATGGGGCCATTCTCTTTCAAACCTCCACAGACCCACTTAAGAAAAACAACACAGGAAAAGGCAAAGATAAAAGGGTAGTGAAAATAGTTTTCAAACCAGCATAGTTTTGATTCCAACATCTAAGACAGTAGTTTGATACTAACCGATTTTTGCTTTGTTATAAACAAAACCAGGGCAACTATAAATTTCACTTAATTATAAAGTCTCATCGATGGGGCTGGAGAGATGGCTCAGTGGTTAAGATCACTGACTGCTCTTTCAGAGGACCCAGGTTTAATTCCCAGTACCCAATGGCAGCTCACAACTGTCTGTAACTCTAGTTCTAGGGACTCTGACATCCTCACACAGACATATGCCGGCAAAACACCAATGCACACAAAATATAAATAAATAAATTTTAAAAACCTCATAGAAGACTACTGCTTCAAAAGCCCTAAATCAGCATAAGTAGATAAAAAACCCAACCACACAGACAATCGGGAGTCATTCAGAGGCCACGGTGAACACTTGGCAGCTTGGTGTCTTCAGCACACTTGGTGGAAAGAGTGGTATGGCTGTGGCAAAAAGTCACCCATATGCATGGCGCGACCAAACTCCAGAATTAAACATAATGGTTTCTATTTGTAGGAGAGAAATCATTCTCTGTGGAAAAACATGTGCTTGCACGCATTTGTGTGTGTGTGTGTGTGTGTGTGTGTGTGTGTGTGTGTGTGTGAGAGAGAGAGAGAGAGAGAGAGAGCGAGCACATATGTACATGCTCACATAATTATGCTTGTGTGGAGAGCCTGTTTGTAAAGTTAAAGGCAACTTTTTAGTGGTTGGCTCTAGAACAGAAAACTAAAAGATTGAGATTGAGTGAGAGCCTTGTTTCTGAATGCTTTTTATTTTTTGAACTTTTAAGTCATATGTGTATGTAGTTTTAAAACTGTTAGGGTTTTTTTAATGGTCGTTCTGTATCAAAATAGCTTCAGAAAATTTTAAAAAATGAATTTTCCTTTCCTGTTGTAAATATCCTGTAAATAACACCCCATCCCACCGGCACTGTAGTAGACCCTCGTACAGTGAGGTCTAGGTGGGGCACCTCAGGCCTTGGGCTCCAAGGATGCTAACAGTAGCTAGATGGAACTGCTGTGATTGATGACTGCTTTTCAAGACATTTACAAAAAAACACGGACACAAAGAACTCCAGTACCAGTGAAGGCTGTGGTATTGAGGCAGCCTCATGACAAAAATGTAATGTCTAAATGATAGAATATAGGAATCATGTGAAGTATTTACTTTTTAATCATTAATCTATTAGAAATTTAAGGTTTAATTTACTATAAATTGATTTAATTTAATTATATAAGGTGATAATATCGCAACTATTTATAATTTTAATGAAAAATTTTTTTACCTTATTTTTTGTGTATATGGGTGTTTTGCTTATTTGTACATATGTGCACCAGGTACATGCAGTGCCTGAGGAGGCCAGAAGAGGGTATTGGATTCCCTGGAACTGGAGTAGCAGGAGGTTGTGAGCCACCATATAGGTGCTGGGTGTCTCACCAGGCTCCTCTGGAAGAGCAACTAGTGCCCTTAGCAGCTGCTGCATCTCTCCAGCCCCGTTTATAACCTTTAAGTTTTTTATTTAAAAAAGGTTTCACAATTTGTAGTAATCACGTAGAATTAATAGACTGTGGATTTTCTTTGTGTATGAATCGTCGGAGGACATTAAAAACGCAAACCAATCGTTTTTGAGACAGCCTCAAAAATTAGGTAGCGCAGGCTGGGCTTGAACTCGTGATCTTTCTTTCTGCCTTAACGTCTCAGGAATGACAAGGGTGTGCCACCACGACACACCTGACTTTATTCTTAAAGTCCATCCGTCATATTTCTTCTAGGCGTGCCATTACTTAACGAAAAAGGAATTGAGGCTTCCCTCTACTCCCCGTGAATCACGGCACTGTTAATAGTCATCCTCATGATGAAAGTGGTCAAAGCAGAAATGAAACAAATCGGGAGAAGAAGGGTTAGTATAGGAGTCGTCTGTGTGTTGTTTTCTTCGTTTAGAATCCCCTACCACACTCTGAGCACACTCTTAGAGAGGGCAGAACTAACTTAGTGGGGGCTGAACTAACCTGATGCCTTGACTGTTGCAGGCCAGGGGACGTCATGTCCTCCTTTGAAGATGCTGACACGGAAGAGACGGTGACGTGTCTCCAGATGACTGTTTACCATCCCGGTCAGCTGCAGAGTGGAGTATTTAAGTCAATAAGGTTCTGCAACAAAGAGAAATTTCCTTCTATTGAAGTGGTGAAGTTTGGTCGGAATTCCAACGTCTGCCGGTACACTTTTCAGGACAAACAGGTTTCCCGAGTTCAGTTTGCTTTACAGCCATTTAAACAGTTCAACAGCTCGGTTCTCTCGTTTGAGATTAAAAACATGAGTAAGAAGACCAGTTTGATGGTGGACAATCAGGAGCTCGGCTACCTCAATAAAATGGACCTGCCTTACAAGTGCATGCTCAGGTTTGGAGAGTATCAGTTCCTGTTGGAGAAGGAAGATGGAGAGTCGGTGGAATCTTTTGAGACTCAGTTTATCTTGTCTCCAAGACCACTCTTGCAAGAAAACAACTGGCCAACACAGAGTCCTGTACCTGAGGATTCGGGGTATTCATCCTACTTCACCCATAGGACTTCTCCTACAGAAATGGATGAAAATGAATTGTGAAGAGAGCCCACGTAGAGAAACGTGAAGGATGGATGAGTGTAGTGTAGTACAGATATCTGCATGCTGACTTTGGATTTAGTAATAGCATTCGGAAGTCCATATATAGGCTGTGTTTGTCGTCAGCTCAGTCAGCTGTTTGCATTCCGGATCTACAAAGAATTAAGTGTATGTCTGTAAGGGTTAGTGTATGAAACATACCTGCTGTGTCATGCTGTTCTTGGTCCTTTTTCTGCTTGATGGCACTCCCATGCTTTGTTTTGGTAACAGCCAAGCTGGGTCACATCATTTCGTAGCAGCCTTTGGTTTTCAAGTTCAAAGCTCAGGCGGATTGTTCACTGGTGTCTGTGGCATGTTAATACTTGTAGAGCTGGAGTCCTGGAATGAGTTCTTGAGTCTCATCTGAGTCACTGTGGTTTCATGATGGAAAGACTTGAGAAAGAACACCTTGATTTTCTTTCTATGAAATTACAATATTTATTCCTAAGATGGCAGTTTTGCTTTTTTGCATGTAGGACCTACAGTTAACATTTAAAGAACATGGAGGTTAAAATTATTTTTTTACAAAATTGAAAATTGCCGGGTGGTGGTGACACACGCCTTTAATCCCAGCACTCAGGAGGCAGAGGCAGGGGGATCTCTGTGAGTTCAAGGCCAGCCTGGTCTACAGAGTGAGTTCCAGGACAGCCAGAGATACACAGAGAAGTACTGTCTCAAACAAAATAGCACAAAACCACCACCACCAAAAAAAAAAAAAAACAACCCAGAAACTGAAAATGAATTTTATGTACCTTACACAATTTAAAAATTGCAGAAATCAAAACTTGTAACAGCCTCTTTGTGTCTGATGACGTCAGAGCTCAGTCCACTAGCCTCTTCTCTGAGACTTCCTAAAGAAGGAAAAAACGTTCATGCTCAGCTGCTGTAGAGAAGTAAATATATGTGAATATTTGTAATAAATGCTTTCATATTTCTAAACGCTCGCTTTCACAACTTTTAGAAGCTGTGTTTAAGAGATTCTCATTCAGTTCCTTTTGGCTAGATGAAGATGAATGTTTGTGAATGTTATGTAAAAGAATGACAGCCATCAAGTTAAGATAAATTCTAGCACTACCAGGAAGCAAGGCTCCCTGTGTAATTACCTTGGTAAATGAAATTCTGTGCTATAACAGATGAGGTGGGGGGGAACTAACCACACACACACACACACACACACACACACACACACACACACACACACACATTTGTTTTTGAGACAACATCTCTCTTTGAAGCTCAGGCTGGCCTTGAACTCATGATCCTCCTGCATCAGGCCCCTGAATGCTGTGCTTACAGGTGTGCACCCCCCCCCCCCCCCCCGTGCTTAGCTTAATGTAACTGTATTTCTGCAACAACCCTTCAAAACTATTTCTAATAAACTTTTCAGGCTAGTGCCATGGGAATGTCACGCGCAGTATGTCTCTTGATGTAGATTGCCAGTCACTCCTCGACTGTGAAATGGGGCCTCAGCTGCTGCCCCAGCCCCAGGCCTGTTGCTATGGAAACTGTTTTCTGTCTCTGTGCTAAGTGCCCAGTTGACTGTTTCATTTCTTGGTTTTTCTGCTGACTTCTGTGTTAATATTCTGACCTGCCCCTTGGGGCCACCCTGTGATCTGACATAGAAGCCTGTTCTTAAGGGAAAACTCCACCCCTTCCATCTCCCCCTTCCGCTTTCCTCCTGTGAGGTGTACACCTCTCCAATCCCTCGCCCTTCTCTCTCTCTCTCTCTGTCTGTCTCCCTCACTCTGTCTTTCTGCCTCTTCATCTCTCTATTATAATAAACTCTCCATGTGGATGCAGTGTCTGGGGTGTGTATCTCCCCACATGGCCTGCATCTCGTTGCATCTGCCCAACATGGCCCCCTGCACGCGCAGGATACCCTCGGGGAACCTCCCGCATACAACATCGTAGCAATGGCGATATCATAACAGATGGGGGAGCAGAGTTACCGTGGGACTTAGAAAACACCTTCCGATGGTCTCCATACTGTGGTGGGTGAAGGACGCAGTCTAATGTATCACAACACGGTGGTAAACAAAGAGTGGCATACAGGCGTCCGGGTGTCTCCGTGCTAACTGCCAGAACCTGTGAGTGTGTCCTGACAAAGCAGAAACGAATGCATGCTGTGGATAGAATTAAGGTTGCTCACTACCTGGTCTCAAAAGAGGTCAGCCTGGATTATCCCAGATCCAGTTAATAACAGGGTTTTTAAAAGCAGGGGAGTAAGACAAAAGACACCAGAATGATGGAGTGTGACAAGGACATGGCCTGCTGGGAAGGGTTTTGCACTTGGAGGAAGGGGGCTATGAACCGAGGAATGCAGCAACATCTTGAAGCCAGAGAATGTGCAGAGAGATCCACATGCTGGAAAAGGCAGAGAAACCTCAGCAAGAATTGAAATCCTGGGGACTCTTCAGTCCACAGACACCTGCCTTTGACTTCTGACCCGTAGGACTTTAAGATGCTAGGTTTTTGTTGCAAATGACAGCAGCAAAGAGCAAACAGACCTACTCCTTCTGATGTAAGGTTATGGTCTTCGTTACTGTTCTATCGCTGTTAAGAGACACATGATCAAGGCTACTTATAAAAGGGGGCATTTAATAGGGGCTTGCTTACAGTTTCAGAGGGTGAGTCCATGGCCATCATGGTGGGGAGGATGGCAGCATGCAGGCAGGCATGGCAGTGGAGCAGCAGGTCAGAGTTTACATCCTGATCCAAAGGTAGAAGGTGGAGAGAGGGAGACGGCCTGGCTTCAGCTTTAGAAACCTCAAATCCAGTGACATCACCTTCTACAAGGCAACACCTCCTAATCCTTCTGAAACAGTCCACTAAATAGGAACCAGACACTCAAATATATGAGTCCATGGAGGCCATTCTCATTCAAGCCACTACTGGCATTTCTTGCCACTATCATAATGGCCTTCGTTATGCTACCTAGCTTTAGGATTACACCTTCTTGTCTGATGCAAATTTGTGAACTAGACTACCTCGCTCGTTAGAAGTGCTCATGGAGGAGGGGAGGCAGAGGGTGGAAGCAAGGAGACCGGGAGATGAGTGGGATCATGATGTAGGATGTGAAGTCCACAAAGAATCAATAGCAAAGGAATCCAATAGGTGAGTATAATAGTGTTCTGATTGCAAATAACAAAACCTCTTCTGAGCTATTCTAGGACAGAGGGGGTGATTAAAGGGAAACTAAACTAGCTCCCAGAATGAAAGGAAGGAATACTGCAGGCTTCTGCTAAGATTGCACCGCCCAACCTCATTCCTTAGTGTACGGTGGCCCCATTGCCCATGTACATGTCTGCCTATGGCCACCAGGAACTCCCAGGATTTGCCTACATTAATCGCTCAGAGAACCTGACCTCCCTAATTCAGTTTTTGGAAGGGGTAAGCTTGAGTGAGATGTCCAAGCCTCCACCAATCAACTCTCTGAAGGTAACACAATCACGTTCTAAAACAGCTGTCCCAGTGAGTGACCATGTAGAAAGAAAACACATTTTCTAACAACGACCACAACAAAATCACCACCGTTGAGTGGAAATGAGGACAAAAGGAAAGTGTTTGATGCACCAAACTCTGTAGCTCAGTGAAAATCTTCCACACAGGTCTTAAGGACTCTGCCTTTGGGAGTTGGTATGGGGCTTTTAAAGGAGCATGTCGGCTGGTGGCAGTGTTATAGCATTCTTTCTTGGATCTGTAGCTTCATGACATGGCCAAGCAATCCACTGGGGAAGTAAACTCATATGGTATATGACTTTTAATCTTTTTTTATTTTTAAGAATTATGTGTGTAAGTTTGCCTGTGTGGGGGTATGTGCTAGAGTTATAGGCAGTTGTGAGCTGCCCATTGTGAGTGCTTGGAACCAAACTTGGGTCCTCTGCAAAGGCAGTAGTCAAGCCCCTCTTAACTGCTGAGTCATCTCTCTAGGCCCTGGAACAGGGTTAAATTCTTTTTTTATTGGATTTATTTATGAGGGTGAAGAGTTACACACATGAATAGGTGGAGGTCAAAGGATGACTTTTGAGAGTCAGTATCTCCTTCCACATACGCTTTTTACAACTACTTTCTAGAAAGTTCTATTTCTATACCCAGTACCTTTACTGACAAGCAGAAGCTCTCACATGAATAAAAGTATGTGTTTCAGTGGGTGTAGGATGGGGTGTGTATTAGAATTCCTAGCCACTCCCCCACCTACATGACCGTGAGTGTGCTGGCAAGATTCTTAGTCATCCCAGCGCCTGGTGTCCTACGTAATCCATTTGCTGCATGATCATGTAATTTGCGCACAGCGTGATCACATAATCTATGTGCATGCACATAGATTGGCGTAGCTACATAAGCCCATGTGCACATGTGGGGGGGAGGGGACCTATAAAAGCAGTTCCACTTATTCCTCCCCCCTCTTCCTGCACAGTCATTCCATAGGCCTATGCACATCTTTCCTATTCCCTTCCCTTAATAAACTCTTAATAGTGGGTTTTGTTGTACCTCATGGCTTCTCTTTGCACAGCAAACAGTGCTGCCTAATGAATAACACTTCACCACTTAATAACAGTGTGTTCACTGGAACTTTAAAAAATAATTTTTATATGTAGATAATATCTATGCATTAAGACAACTGGCCATAAGCTCACGGTCAGGAGATACTGTTCATAGTTTGAGTAGCTGTTAGACCCGAGAATCGTGAGGAGGAAAGACCACCTCCACAAATGTCCGATTAAAGCAAGCTGTATTTTGGGGTGCACCCAGGACTGGCCAGCCGGCTGTCCCACCCTAAGTCAGGATTTGAGAGAGCAGCTCCTGCCAGACTCTTGAGGTCCTTTTTTATAGGAGAGATAAGGTATTCACAGGGGCAAGAGAGCTGGCTGTTACACATTGTTAGGAAAATACAGGGAAAGGGAAGGAACAAGGGTCAGGATGTGCATCATGTGAGTGGGGTTGCAAATTTAGTGTAGGCTGAAAAACTCGGTTTACAATTTACATCAGATCTAAGAAACAGGAACTTTTTTTCTTTTGTTTTTGGAGACAGGGTCCCTCTGTGTAGCCCTGGCTGTCCTGGAACTGGCTTTGTAGACCAGGCTGGCCTTGGACTCAGAGAGATTCACCTGCATTTGCCTCCTCCTCCCAACTGCTGTGATTAAAGGTGTGCGCCACGACGGCCCGGCTGGAATTTATTCTTAATTACAAATAGAAACCTTAACTTGCAAGGACTTTCAGCAGGACAAGCAGGAACTTATTCAGCTACAAACAGAAACCTTAACCTGCCCAGCGCAAACAGGAACTTACTCCTGTCTCAACTGCAAAGGTGTATTGTTCCTGTTTTGGTCTCCTACTAACTTGCACGGTATAGCGTGTCTGCTTTGGTCTGACATAGCAGCTGCTTCTTTCTATGTTACCTAATGGCTCCTTGTTTGTTTTGTTTTTCACTTGGTAGTCACACAGTTCCTTGATTGTCACTTGTTAATGTAATAGGCATGGTTACCGCTTGGTGGGCTGTGATTGAGATGTCAATCTTCATTGAAGGTGGTAACTAAGGAGAGCCATGGAAAGCATGGTTGGGATTGAGAGGATGACAGGGTTGCAGCCATCTTAGAGAAGGGTCAGACCTGGAGCAGCAGGCCCCGGGAAACCCACCAGAAGATGTGCTGTCCCTCTACCCTAGGCCCTGGGAATTCCACCAGAGGATGTGCTGTCCTCCACTCTAGGCCCTGGGAAACCCACCAGAGGATGTGCTTCCCCTAGACCCACACAATTAAGAGCTACATTAAAAAAAAACAAAAACAAAAAACGAGTTCCAGGCATTTCCTGCTATAACCTAAAGGATATGATAGATTATATACCATAGCTGCTGTGGATGATTGATTGATAAATAAAGTGTTGATTGGCCAGTAGCCAGGCAAGAAGTATAGGTGGGACAAGGAGAAAAGAGAATTCTGGGAAGTGGAAGGCTGAGCCGCCACCAGCCGCCGCCATAAAAAGCGAGATGTAAAGTACTGGTAATCCACAAGCCATGTGGCAACTTATAGACTAATAGATATGGGTTAATTTAAGATATAAGAATTAGACCATTAGGCCAAATAGTTTAAATAATATAAGCGTCTGTGTGTTTATTTTATAAGTGGGCTGCGGAACTGCGGGAGCTTGGCGGGACCCGGAGAGAAACTCTCCAGCTATACATAGCTGTTAGAGGGAGCAAGTTTCCTACAGATAAGAAATGGGATTTCTAATTGTCAGAGAAAATGGGTCTGTGATGACATAACCTGCTAGAGGAGATGGCAATTTCCTTGCAGCTGCAACTCTC